TACTACTACTACTACTACTACTACTACTACTACTGTTGTAAATAGTTTCTTGATCTGCGTCAGTTTTAGGAAACAGAGTTTAAGTCTGACAGGATTGATGAGCTGAAAGTCGAAATGAGCTCAAGACCAAAGTGGATCTGAATCTCCAACCTCCAAACTTCTTTAGCGGTTCTTAATGTTTTTTCATAGAGCTTAGAAGTTAAGACAACAAGCAGCTCTGTGAGTGGGTCTGCTCAGACAAACTACTGATTGTTCATTAATACGGGGCCAGTGACGCACTTTTAAACTGATTTTGCAGTCAAATTAAAACAACAGTCATCTACAAAGTTTTATAGTTGTTCTTGCAAACATTATAATTTAAACGTTTACACCGACATGAATTTGCAGTTATTTCAGAAAAAATATACCTGCCATTCCTATAAGCTGCACTGGAAGTTAGATAAGATGAGTTAGCTGATGTCACTGGCTACAAATACCCTTCTAATTAACTGTGTAATGTGATACTGAATAATAATGTAAAACACTGTTTGTAGCTTAGAGTTAAAATCTAAAAGGACTGAGGAGCTAACAGGTAGTCTGAATGTGTACAAATCGATTTTCTTTTAAATGAGGCTGTTCAAAGAGCAGAAATGAAATTACCTGCTCTTAAGAACCCCACTTCAAGATGTCCAAAATATCCTTTGAAACAGACCCCATGATGCTCATGAAGAACAGAGCCAAGTATAAAAGTGGTTCACCCACAGTTAGTGGCTGAGGCAGACATKATGTCACATCTAAAGTCTGCCATTGGCAAATTTGTACGCTTTTTGAGCAGACTGGTTGATTTGATCCAATTTTCTTTTCAAAGTGCTCTTTCCTCTGCTGCTCCAGTGAAAATCACTACTCAAGATCATTTCAATTTTGTGGTTATAAACTATTCAAACCAACTGATTTCATGTAATGTTTAAAACAGAGGAGCCCAAAGTGGGACCCGCGAGCCAAATTTGGCCTGCCAAGCCATTTGATTTGGCCCACCAACAGCTGCCAAAGTRACAAGGTTGTAACCTGTTATCCTATGTAGYAACACAGTATTTCCATTGGTKAAATGARTATATAAAAGGGCTGCAGTGAKGGTTTTCATTTATGGTGCTGACTTTATCTTTGATTTATTAGGATTAAACATGAAACATGAAATGACAAGAAATATTTAGATCAGATTTAAGGTAAAAAAAACTCATATTTTATCAATTTATGATATGTCCCATGAGCCTTTGCTACTTTCTCTCCAAGTGCACAGACTAAAACAAAAGAGGGTCATTGCATAGCTTAATCGTCAAAAATAAAGGACTTTACTTAAAAMGTATTTGTATTTCATGTATTATATTACTGCATTTGGCCCGCAGCCCTGGATAGATTTTCATTTTGGCCCCCTCGGGGAAAAATGTTTGGGCACCCCTGGTTTAGAGCCTCAACAAAAATATTGTTACTGTTTATGGCTTTATGAGCCCAAAGTGTCAATTGAGAAAAAGCAATATAGTAGTCAGAAAGCTAATTAATCTTAATCTCTTTAATAACAGTTACCTCATAAAGCAGAGATTCTTAACCTGTGCGCCGTGGCCCACAAGAACAACAGATTTTACCTTTGGGCCACAGAGGGTTGTGGGACCGCATTGATTTAAAATAAGGTGCAAAACACTTTCTCACCACTAGTAGCAGTAGTCCACCACTCAGATGTTTAACAACTTTTTTAATATGTAGAAGAAGAACATTATCAAATACATTTGAGATACAACTATGATTTAATTTGCACTTTATCAAATTAATTTTTGTAGTTTATTTTTAAACATTTTGAATGTACCTATTTTAAAGAA